TAGCCTATCCTAATAATTAAAATGCAATGCGATGGCCTTGGCTTCAAGGGTAGTGAATTCTGAAAAATAAAATGCAATGGTCGTTAGGCAACTCGCCTAAACCGATAAATTGGGTAGGCATGCTTAAAACAAGAGATGAATGCTAGATAACCCTACCTAACCGACGATCTAAATTAGGTAACACTCGCTTGAAAATGAGAAAATCATTTGGCAATCCTTCCTAAGCGATAAACTAAATTAGACAACCCCGCGTAGAAAAGAGATGATCGTTAGGAAAGCCCTACCTAAATAATGAACTAACTTAAGTAACCTTGCCTAAAATGAGAGATGATTGTTAGAAAATCCTACCTAAAAAGATGACCAACCCAACCTAGAAATGAGATGATTGTTAGGTAACCTTACCTAAGTGATGAACTAAATTTGGCAACCCTATCTAGAAATGAGATGATTGTTAGGCAATTCCGCCTAACCGATGAACTAAATTAGGCAACCCTACTTGAAAATGAGATGATCATTCATAAATCTTGCTTAAAATAATGAACTAAATTTGGCAACCCTACTTAGAAATGAGATGATCGTTAGGCACTCCGCATAAGCGATGAACTAAATTAGACAAATGATCATTAGACAACTCTACCTAAGCGATGAACTAAATTAGAAAATTTTTCTTAAAAATGAGATGATTGTTAAAAATTCCTACCTAAATGATAAATCAAATTTGGTAGCCTTACTTAAGCGATGAACTAAATTACGCAGCTTTGCACTGGAATGAGAGATGATCGTTAGGCAACGTTGCCTAAGTGATGAAATAAATTAAGCAACCATGCTTGAAAAGATGGTTTATTGTGAGACAAATCTATTAGAGAGAATGGTTTATTATGAGGCGACTCTCCTTAAAAGGATGATCTATTATTAGGTGCTCCTACCTAAAAGAATGGTTCGGGAAATGTGAGCCCCTTATGATCTTGTGACTTATAATTTTACATTTGAGTGACGATTTTGAATTTTCATGTAAGTTGACGTTCATGAAATATATCAATAAATTGATTATAATGGTTAGTTTATTGCTTGAGAGAAACATAAGTCGCTCTACCTTGTCGGCACTCAACTCTCCTTTTGGTGTCTCATTCTAGACTTTTACACTGGATCCTATCTTATAGTATTTCTAAAATTTTCATGCCCATTGGGCCTTGATCACTATTTATTATGAACTTGATTTTTTCACTTTTTCTAACCAATTGAGGTAGATGAACTTTTCCGAACTTTGAAGTTGATAACATTCCACATGTTATGATCTACCCTCGCGAGACCATGCTCGAATTCTTTGATTGCTTGCTAAAATTTTTACCGAGTTATCATCTTCTCTTAGGACTACTCTTCGCCTCTAGCTTTAATGGTTTTGGTCGCTTTGATTTGTGCTCAAATGCTTACTAGTTGGGCCTTCATTCCCTAATTTACATGATAATGTCATTATTTGACTAGTTTGTTAAATTTGATTGAAGTTTTAGGTCTATGGCCTTACCCCTAAGTGTTTTCAATTTTAATGATTATCATTTAGATCGGGTCATCGAGCCCCCAAGTACTAATCGAGATCAAACATTTACCGCTCTCTTGGTATAACCACTATTTGTGCTTAGATTTCATTTTTTGATGCTTGCATCATAATTTGTAATTTGGTCATGAAATTTTCATTATATTTTTAGAAATAATCTCCAAATAGACACTTGGTTTTCCATGAATTAAGTCATGAACTTAAATGATTCTCTTGAATACAATTTCAAATCATTTGAAAAAAATAAAAAGATGTTCCAATGAAAGTACTTTTATTCATAAAAATATTCAAGTTGATTGGTTGAGAGTCAAAACATGATATTCAAATGCTATGATGCAATTTATTCAAAAAGATTGTTAGGCTAAGCAAGTAAAATCTATTTGAACCATGCAAGGTTTGTATAAAAACTAGTTTTCGATGCACTTGAAGGTAATTGGTCAAATGATAAGTTCATTTCTAGTGAATAAAAAAGATTTGAGTAAATTTTTTTTTTGAAAAATTAGTTTTGAAGGATAATTTTACCCGAGAATAACTTGGTTCTATTTATTTTTTCCTCAAGTTAATGGATGAAAACTCATGATTTAATGTCATAAATTCTAACGAACAACACTTCGATCGGTCATATTTTTTTTCCTCCATCATTCTTTCTTTTCTTTTAAGATTAGAATTCAACAACATAAACGAACTATCCTTGATCCAAGATGGCTTGTAAAAGCACGTAACATACGCTAAGGCATAGGCTTATGAAAAAAAGATATATAAAAGCTCAAAAAGTATTTTAAGGGTCTTATGACATAGGATCACTTTGTTGTCCATAGATGTCTTTTTAGGCGACACTCGCTTAGACTTTGTCACTTTAGCCATTAGTTAGGCTTTGGCGTCATTTTGATATTCATGAGAAAAATTCCTTTTAGGCTTATTGTAATGATTTTGTTATTTTGATTGTTGATTTTGTTTTATAGCCTCAACTCTCATTGTCTCGTTTGTTTGTATTTTCACTTCGATTTTGTATTAGGGATGTTTATTTATTTCTTTCTTTTCACATTTCCTTTTGCTTTTAGGATTATTGATGAGGTTCTTTTGATAGATATTTTTGAGAGTTTCATCAATCATTTATGAACTTTACGTTCGTTCCCCATTGTGAGGGGTGATCCTAGTTTGGGTATTGTAAAAGGAATTATCAAGGCTCAAATTGGGATGACATGGATAAAATTTTTATGAGAAATGTGAAATGTGGCATCTCTTCATCTCAAAGGCTAATTTGCCTACACTAATTAACACTAATATCTTTGGAAGACAATGATTAATTTGGAAAACCCTTAAGTTAAATTGAAAGAAGAAATGATGAATGCAACTTGGGATCACAATACGAAGATGTACTTGTTCATCATTATTTAGGACATTAATCGTTTAGTTTTTCAAATTTAGGCTTTATTGTATTTTCTTAGGAAAAACTTTCTTTCAAGGTTTCGGTTCAAAAAAGGAAAAAAAAAAAAACAATTTCTTCTTGGTTTTGGTTTTGATAAAATGAGGGATTGTCCCCTTACTTTCTTTTACTTAGAAAGATTATTAGAAAAAGAAGATGTATCTTTAGCTTTAATGAATTGAAAAATTATCTCTCGCATCTATTTGTCATACTTTGAGATTTGATCAATCTTTATAATGTTTTTGAATGAATTTGCCATTATATTTTCTCGATAAAGGAAGATGTAATGTCAAATAATAATTTTAAATGAATATCTCTTAATTTCAAACCATATAATATAGAATTATATGAAGTGAATAGGAGTTACTCCTTCATTCAAAGACATGACTCAATCCATGCAAAGCCAAAATGTGTTTTTTTTTTTTTTTTCCAAAAATAAGGTTAAAAATTTGACAAATTAAAAGCCAATAATTACAAATTATGAGCATGCATCATTTTTTTTTAAGCTCACTTATTATCTCCATCTTATATATGGAGAACCTAGGGTAGTTTGGGGAGCAGAGTTGATGTTCAAATTAGGAGCATTCAAACCACTATTAAAACCGATCAATCTTGCTTGATCAAATCCAACAACTTTTTTTAAAAAAAACAAGACAATCATCAATGTTACACTCAATAGTACATGAATAACATTCACACCTCTCATTTGATTTATACCATGAAGAATAAAAAGGTTTCATTAGATCGAGTTGGATTGAGGTGATTTGCTCGATACTTATCGGACACTCAAATGTTCCATCAAATGAGAAAAGTTGAGGTTGTAATTATTCATGATCTTTTTTTCATATTTTTTCCCTCATTTTCTTTTATCATATTTTTTATGCTTGATCATTTTTTAACACTTACAAAGATCACAAAACTTGTAACAAACTCAAAAAAAAAAAAAAAAAAAAGGCTAAACATTTGAAAAATCAAAGAAATTGAATAAAATGATGATTTTTTGTATTTTTGAATTTCTTTTAAAATTTTGGGTTGATATCCTGACCTGTCCTTATATAATGGGTCAGATTTTCAATGCCTTTATTAAAAAAAAAAAAATCTCTAATATGTCACTATAATTTGAGTTGATTTCTAATCTATCTTTTATTTACAATCTAACAAGTTTTTTGATCAAATTAAATACATAATTTGTATATAGTATGTAATTTGATAAGAAAACAATTATTATTTGACACAAGTGATCTATATCTATTAATATTAAAAATAATTTTTAAAAATTGAATAAAAATTTTAATTCGAATGATAAATTAGAAATTAACTCAAAATATAAAAACATATTGAAAACTTTTTTTTAATGATAGATTAAAAATCTAACTCTTTATATAACCCCAAATTAGGGTACTAACCCTTAAAAATTTTAAAAAATAAAAAGTCAAATCGGGTGCTAACAATCATCGTATCTTTTAACTTTTGAGTAATCTTGTGATCTCATAATACGTCAAAAAAGTTTATATATGCATCGGCTCTCTTAATGGACAGGGCATCCTCTATTCAACGTTCGCACAATTCTCTCTTTAGCCGGGTCTAAATATTGGAAATAAAAACTTGTAAGTTAATCTTCAGCCAAGCCAAAATCTTAACACAACAGTAACAAGTTTCTGCAGCAGTTGAACCAAACTGAAATGATCCAAGAAAGCAATCTCTTTTGGTTATGGCACGACTTGAGAATTCAACAAGAGTGCATACCAAGAACTCAGAACTCGTCACTTTTGAAAAGTTAAATTTGCGATGCCTAGTTTGGTTACCAAGATATTGAGCACGCTGATCTGATTCTATAATCAAAACATGTCAAGCTTTTACAGAGTAGTTTTTTAAGAGGTTCAAGACTGAAGCTTGCTGGTACACTAACTGTAAGGAAAAGTCCAGGTTCTCTTGAAAACCACTTTCCATGTCGACTCATTAGCTCCATCACCTCACGTCATTCACTGGAGTGCACCACAATGGCCAACACTTCATATTGCTCTACCTGTACTTTAGTAGAACTTCTTCATCACAAAGTGTCCTAGTGGCAACTAATACGAGAGTCTTGAGAACAGGAACATTGGATTCACTACTTTTGGCACTGGATCTGAACCAAAAACTGTCAAATCCTCTATTATTCAATTCTTCTGGATTTGCAAACGATACATTTGGTATATAGGTTCTCATATCCTTCTCGGTCAGAGGGAAGTCATAAGGGCAAATCATAACATTTGGATACATACCCTTTGCTGGGTGGTTAGCAAAATGAGCCAAAGCTAATGGGTTTCTCCGCTCCAAGACATCACCAATAGGACCAACCTCTGTACCTTCCAAAGGCTTACTCAGCATCCTCCAGACCAACTCTGGATTTTTCCCAATACTTTGCACATTAGGCCAGATTTCTGGTACAGTGAAGCCATCCCACACTCCGCGACTTTCACCCCCAGAACCCCAAGGCTGGGCATTGATCACAGTCCCATCATATCTAGTGATCAAGTAAGGGTTCTGGGCATCTTCTCTTGGGTACCCTGGGATATACTGCTTGTAAGCAGGACTGTGTATGACGCCAGGGTATATGGCAATTACAGTGCCCACATCAGCCTCACCATTTACAAACAAACCTTGTCCAGCTTCCTTATGGGGTATCAGAGATGGCTTTACATCAAGTGTGTAACCAATGTGATCCTTTAAACTCTGTGATACTTGAGCATGATTTAACCGCCTCGTCTCCAGTATAGCTGTGCTGAAAAACAAGGTTAATGAAAATTGAATTGAAGTTTAGGCATTAGGGCTTCAGCTTCTAACTGTATTCTTATCCATCAATTTGGTCCTTTCTGTTTCATGATACTGTATCACTCTTTTAGAAATTAAAAGTTCCAAATGGCATTGGTTATTTTGCAGTGATATTTAGCAATATGTAAACTATCGATTATTTATAGCAGATGTATATCTTTTGTATTCTATAATTAAAATTATCTTAGAGCTACACAATTGGTATGGAAAAGAGAAAGTTAGAAATGCATAAAACATAGGAGAAAGCAGTTGTCTGGAACATTAAGCTCAAAACGAGAAATGAGCAAATATGAGACAGGTGCAATGTCATATTATCTAAGCAATTTAAGTTATAAGGTTGGTATTATTTTATAAATTAACTCTGGAGAGGATTTTCTGTAAATTAACAAGAAGGATTGTGCACATAAACTCACCAGGATGATCAGCATGTGGACCACTCTCATCAAAAGCAAAACTAAGGCCGCTATGGCGAGTAGCAGCAGTTGATAGTGCAGGAGCTTCATCCTTCTCTCTTCTCTTTGTCACATTATGAAGAAGAATTTCATTCATAGCTTTGCAGAAGTTTGTAATTTGAAAATGGATGTTTTCATGGACCTGTTTCTGCTGATCAGCAAAAGAAGCTTTACTAGCCATTCCAATGATCTCCTTCGCATCTGCCTCCTTGGAAATCCTCCCCAAACGATTGCAGCTGAAAATATTAGCTCTTATTAACAACTCAAGGTACTCAAAAGAACAGCAATCACATATCTTGATAGAATAAGTGATGTAGGTGGCACTCAGTTGACATAAAGCTACATGGTATTGAGAATGAACCAATTTTGATACAAGAAGGGAGAACCAAGTATTCACGAAAGAAATTTCAAAATTAAATTTCATTATACTTCTTCAACATTTCAAAGAAAAGAAAAACAAACAATTTGAGAGTAAGATCAAAACAATTACGAAATTTGAGAGTTAGACCAAAGGATGAAGTTTCACTAATTTTGAATTTTTAAACTTTGACTTTCACCATGAACTTTGTGACTTTCTGGTAATATTACTTCTTTAAAGGAGATTTCGATTAATATATATATATATATATATATATATATATATATATATATATATATATATATATATTGTTTTTGCAAATCAGATGGTCTCTACTCTCTTGGACAGACTTCAGGCACCAATCTAATGCCAACAATATTCTGAAAGAACCACCCCCTACTGCGGCATGCACAATCTACACAAAGAGTAGCAAGATACAGTCAATGACAACACAGAAAACAAAAGATACACAAACCTGGTAAAAACAAAGAGACGTTTCATGTCCGCTTCAATTTGAAGCTCCTTTGGATTTCTAGCAATTGTGGGGCCTTTGGCTAGAGTTTTCAATACCTGTAGTTAAAACACAAAAAGAAACAACCTTTAATCATTTTATCAATATTGAACCCATGTATTAACTCTTTTCGCAAAACAAAGCAAACAGCAATTCCATGACACTCTATCTTTAGTCCTACTAACCAAGCACCAAAAACCTCAATCAACTCATTTCTTTCACTTAAAACATCAAATTTCAATTAACAACTCTTGCTTAGATTCTAACTTTACACTAATCCATCCTTTGTAATCAAACTTCATGGATGCAACTACGCATTCATTCACTAAATATTAAAAAAAAAATCCATAAAGTAGATATCTTTTGTACAATTCCAAAATGGGTTCTTTTAAATTTCTTGATTACTCAAAATCCAAACTTTACTTCCATCTTTATCAACCAGCATGGCACTGAATCTACCTAACAACAAAAAGAGTATATCAAATTGCATATACACAAGAGAACTGGACAGAGATAACTGTAATTACCTCTTGAATTTTGTTAAGAAGTGAAACCATTGAAGAAATTGCAGCAGCAGCAACTGATTAGTACTGGCTGTCGTGTGTCGTGCGTTGTCGAATGACAAACCCCTCTTTTGTTGAGGAAATGGGCATAATGTGTAGTTCTAGTTTAAAGTCCATGTGGGTATTTGAGCCTATAAGTTTTGTCTTTGGATACTGGGCTAAGTTAGATTTTTTACTTTGGGCTTGCTTGCCCTTTCTGTCTTCCGTTTGTTTAGTATTTTGCTAGCACGATGTCCGCGCTTTGCTGCAAACAAGTAATTGATCGATACTGAAAACAGTAAAGAATTTACAGACACATTTATATTTATTATTTTAATTATTTTAATAGATTAATTTTTTTAATATTTTAATAGATTAAAAGCCAGGTAGTTTGTTGTAATAAATTAATATAACAATTTTTTTCCTTGCAATATTTATATTATTATTATCATCTTGATTTATTGATATAGATTTATTTCGATACATATGAAAATATTTAATATTTATTATTAACGTACATGAGGGTTGTTTAGGAAATAAATTAAATAAAAGTTTTTCTTTCTTTAAATTTTCTAGTTGATTGCCTACGCAACACTATGAGTAGAATAGAATAAAATTATTCTAATTGATAGTTTATAATATGTTATAGATCTATTAAAATATATCGAATTAAATATTGAGAAAAAATATGAAGTTTTTTAACCAAAATTTTGTATTTAAATAATTCTTTCTTATGTTTTATATAAACTTTATACCTAAAAATACATTTTTCGTTCTTCTTTATGCATCGATTCTTAGATAAAAATTTATAATAATCTAAATTGAAATTTTAATTCAAAATTCAAGAAAATGCATTAAAAAAAAATACCTTTCATAAGAGTGTTAAAAAAGAGAGACTAAAATTAATGTATGAACTTGTACGAAAATAATAGATAATGATCTTTTTAAAAAATCAAAATTTTAAAAATAAATTAAATAAAGCTAGATAAAGATTTTAAAATATATTTTTAAAATTTATGAAAAAATAAATGTTTAATATAAATAAATTAAATTTAGAAAAAAAAAAATTAGGCACGCATAGGCCTAGAGAACCAAGTCCACCCCCATAGTCAAAAGAAAAATAAAAATAAAATAAAAATAAGAGAGAGAGCCACAACAACTTTCGACGAACTATGTTTTGCAAAAAAACTTGCTTGGAAAGTTGGGTTTTATTAAATTTAGCTTTTCAAAACCAAATTCAGCATCATTTTTATCCAAAAATACCTTAAAATTATAGAAATAACATTAACAAACTTGTTTAGAACCTCAAAGCTAGTCTTAATACACATAAAAAAATTAAATTAAAATCAAATAAATTAAAATATTTTGAACTTTCGATCTACCTCTTTTCATAATTTCATGACTTGTTACCACCATAAACGGATTCTACTCTTCAAGAGAAATAAATATGTGGCAAGATTGACGATTAAGGTGGTTAGAATAGACCTCATTGTCCCTTTTTCTCTCTCTCTCTTTGTTTCTCTCTCCTCAACTACTAAGAATCAAAATGCAACACTAATAAAATTTGGAATTGAAATAGAAGTTTGTGAAAAAAATAAAGGACCAAAGTGTAATATTTTGACCAAACGAGTGAAAATTAACCATATATGTCGAGTACATGAACAATGTAATGTATATAAATGATTAGAAAAATGCATAGTGAGTGCATAGTTAACACCTAAATCCTTTTAGTGTTTTACTTAATTTGTTGAAAAATAGGGATTGAATTATCCACCTATAGATGTCTTAAAAAATACCTGCCATATATTGGTAGGTCTCATAATCTCATCGTTTTTCAAAAAGAGATTGTTAGGTGTGTTCCTAATGTAATGGTTTTCCTTTCAATTAAAATGGGATCCATTGATAATTATTATGTTGACCTTGTTTTTATATGAATTGAATAATTAATAAATAAAAAGTATATAATAATATCTCATTTAAAAAAAAAAGAAGTTTTAGATTAATTATCCGATCATTAAAGAAAAAGAAAAAGAAAATAAAAAACAATGAGCCCAATACCTTTGAAAGAAAGGTTTAATGGCTCACTCGGTAGTTTAATTCATTCATTCATTAGAAACTCCAATAATTACTATTAGAAGTGGAACACACTCGATAAGTAGAAATTATACACATATTGAATAGCTTTGGAGCTCAAATTTATTAATTATGCATGTAATTAATTTTTTCTTTGTTATAAATTAATTCTTGTATGCTTTGGATTTGTATGTAGAAAGAATCAAAAGAAGACTAAAGAAGTAAGGCAAAACAAGGATTGAAAAGAAAATAAAAACCAAAAACAAGGAAAGCATCACACACGACCAAGTCGAGGAAAACATAAGGCCATGCTTAGCATCACACACGGCCATGCTACCAAAGAAGATACATGGCTATGTAGCGAGAGACACGCGACCATGTGTGTAGCCAAGATCTACAAGTTCTAAACCTACTACCCATGTTCATATCACACACATAGCCATGTGTGTTGTGTTCTATCCTAGCATGTTATTTTGCCATTATATATATATAATTTTGAAAAAAAAAGAATTGAAGAAATTAGAGAACAATTCTAAGAGTAGAGAAAAAGAAATAGAAGGAGGGGAGAGCAAACCATTTTTCCATAGACAAGTAATTGAGTTTGTTCCTAATTCTTTCAATTCTTATTCTAATGTATTGCCAAGCGGAAAAAATCTTTATTTTAGATTAAAAAAACTCGTTATGTGAAGCTAAACTCTTAAGTTAGGGATGAATGATTTTAATTCTTTATCTATGTGATTAATTATTTTTCTCAACTCAAATCTTGATTCTTGATGCATAATGAATTTTATATTGTTTGCTTTTAAGGCTATAAGAGATTGATCACCTCTTATTGATTCAATGAAATGTGCTTTAACTCGAGGGAGAAGTGTGTATGTTAGATCATAGCAATATAAATCACTTATTTACTATTAAGTTGAAGGATAATTATTTCTAATGCTATAATGGAAGAAAAAAGTGTGTGATCATACTCGTCTAACATTAGAGGATTCTATTTATTTTGATGCACTCAAATCTTAATTTAAGTCACATAAAAATATGGATGATTTTTTAGGTAAATAATAGGATTAATCTGATTATAGATAGCTCATTAACTTGTTAAGAAAATTCTAACATCACATATATTAAGATAGGTTGCAAGGTGGCTTATGAGTCAAGTTAAATTAGTTAATTGCATAGATTATAATTAAATGAATCTATCCTTAGCTATTTTCATATCATCTTGTTAGTAATTTTCAATTCTACAAATTTAGGGTGGAATTCTAATACTCTTTATTGTTTCATTTAATTCAATTTATTCTAAGTTAGAAAATCTTAGTAGCGTAGTTTAATTCTTCGTAGGAATGATACTTTATTACCTTTTTATTGCACAACTTGATTGGGTTTATTGCTTATTTGAATGTGCTAATAATTCATAACACATGCGGTAATTAAAGAGCCTTAAGAGAACATTTTAGAGAGTAGAAGAAGAGCATTATGGTAGACGGTAAAAATGAGGGTCGAGTTGACATGAAAACTATGATTGAGCATACCATATCATCTTCGGAAGGAATAGCCTCAAGTATTAGAAGGCCGGTTATTGGAGTTAACAATTTTGAGATCAAATAGGCCATTATTCGGATGATCCAAACCGGTAAGCAATTTGGTGGATTACCTAACAATGATCCTAATTTTCATATTCCTAACTTTATTGAAATTTATGACATTTTTAGATTTGATGGTGTTAATCTTGACACTATCGGACCTAAACTATTTCCATTTTCTCTTAGGGATAAGGCAAAACATTGGTTATTGTCTCTTCATGTAGGATCAATTTGTATATGGAATGATATGGCTCAAAAAGTTTTATCAAAAAATTTTCCACCCTAAAAAATTGCTAGATTTAGGAATGACATAACCACTTTTGTGTAGTTTGATGCTTGAGTCTTTATATGAAGCTCGAGAAAGGTTTAAAAACCTTATTAGGAAGTGCCCTTGTCATGGTTTACTCATATGGCTTCAAGCTTAGACATTTTATAATGGTATTAACACCTCTAATCGTTCTATGATTAATACGGATGTAGTGGTACCATTATGAGGAAGATTTTAGATGATGCTTATGAATTATTAGAGGAAATGGCTTTCAATAGCTATTAATGGGGCAATGAGAGCAAAATGAAAAAAGGAAAGTGGCATTTACTTCGTATATTATTTACTTCTTTAAATGCCCAAATTGATGCTCTTATTAAGAAAATGGATTTAATAGGAACTATTGAAAATTCTAATCCTTGTGATTTATGTGGATAGTTAGGCATGATCGTGTGACTTGTTAGACGGGTAATCCATTTGTATCTAAACAAGCTAATTTTGTTTCTAATGCTATCATAATAGGTTTTAACCTATACTCCAACTCTTACAATCATGGATGGAGGAGCCGACCAAAATTTTCCTGAGAGCAATGATCAATTGAGGGTGCCTCTTAGCTTTAAAGCATCATTGCCACCTTAGCAAGAGAAAAAGACTAATTTGGAGGATTTGATGTCTAAATTCATCCGGAATACTAATAAAAGGTTTCAAAGCCAAGAAGCATCCATTAAAACATTAGAGGTATAAATGGGGCAACTACCTACCATAATGGTCGAGAGATAATAAGGAGGCATGCCAAGTAATACTAAACAAAATCCAAATGAACAAGTCAAGACCATTACCTTAAAGGGTGAAAAACAAGTGTCGTACTTTGGCAAGGATAAAGAAGAGGGAAGAGTAGTCCTTATTCATGAGCTTGTTAATTAAAAGAACATTATAAAGGAAAAGGAACTAAAGAGGAAACTCCTTACACACTAGAATGTGAAACCATATAAACCTCTTGTTCCTTTTCCTAAAAGATTGGTGCAAGCTAACATTGACAAGAAATTTTTTAAATTTTTAGAGGTTTTTTAAAAGTTACGCATTAACTTACCTCT